AAAAGTAAAACTGAAATTTTAAAAAAGAGTATATGTGAATTCTCTTCAGACATCTGAGTAAAGAAGCTTCTCTTACAGATGACTTTAAGGTACTAGCCACTTATCAAAAGATTGATAAATTCTAATAATTAAAACTAAATTTATATTTATTAAAATGAGTATCAATGGAAGTAAAAGAAAAAACTTTACACTTGTAGAAGATACTAAAATCAAGGACAAGTAAAAAATTTTGCAAATCATTAACAATAAAAGGAATAGAAAGTAAAGACAAAAACTTAAATAGGCATTTCACAATAAGAGGAAGTACATGAAATTAAAAAGTGTGACATTACAAGTGTTAGAGAAGATGAATTCAGCAGAGTACATTTGTTGTACATTGGTCCAGTTTCTTTGGGAAAAAAATTAGCATTGTTTTTGCAAAGTTGCCTGTTAGTATATCTTACTCCTAACATAGCGCTGTTCCCATAAGCACTAGGAAGTATGTACAGGCATACCTCAGAGATATTACAGGTTCACTTCCATACCACCACAAGAAAGCATATATGGCAATAGGGCAATTCACACAAATATTTTTGTTTCGCAGGGAATATGAAAGTTATATTTACACTATACTGTAGTCTATTGTGTGCGGTAGCATTATATTTTTTAAAAAAGTACATAAACAAACAAAACTTTATTGCTAAAAAATGGTAACTATCATCTGAGCCTTCAGAGAATTGTAATCTTTTTATTGGTGGAGGGTCTCTACTCAGTGTTGATGGTTGTTTACCGATCAAGGTGGTGGTTGCTGAAGATTGGGATGGCTATGGCAATTTCTTAAAATAAGACAAGAGTGAAACTTGCCACATTGATTGAGTTGTCCTTTCAGGAAAGATTCCTCTGTACCATGCAGTACGATTTGATAGTATTTGACCAACACTAGAACTTCTTTCAGTATTGGAGCCAATCCTCTCAAACCCTTCCACTGCTTTATCAATTACGATTATGTAATAGTCTTTATTGTCATTTCAGCAATGTTAACAACATCTTTACCAGGAATATATTCCATCTCAAGAAACTACTTTCTTTGCTCATCCATAAGAAGCAACTCCTCAACTGTTTGAATTTAATCGTGAGATTGTAGCAATTCAATCATAGCTTCTGGCTCCCCTTCTAATTCTAGCTCTCTTGCTAGATTCTACCATAGCTGCAGGGACTTCCTCCACTGAAATCTTGAACCCCTCGAAGTCATCGATGAGGGCTAGAATCAACTTCTTTCAATTTCCTGTTAATATTGATATTTTGACCTCCTCCCATGAATTATGAATGTTCTTAATGGCACCTGGAATGGTGAATCCTTTTCAGAATATTTTCAATTTACTTTGCTCAGACCCACCAAAGGAATCACTGTCTCTGGAAACCATAACCATACAAAGTGTATTTCTTAAGTAAGACTTGAAAGTCAAAATTACTCCTTGATCCATGGGCTGCAGAATGGATGTTGTGTTAGCAGGTACAAAAACAATATTAACATCCTTGTACACCTCCATCAGAGCTCTTGGGTTGGTTACTAGATAGCTTTTGAGGGAACAGTAATATTTCAAAAGAAGTCATTTTTACTGAGCAGTAGGTCTCAACAGTGGGCTTAAAATATTCAGTAAACCATGCTATAAACAGATGAGTCATCATTCAGGCTTTGTTGGTCCATTTATAGAGCATGGACAGACCATAATTCTTAAGGTCCCTAAGCTTTTCAGACCGGTAAATTAGCATTGACTTCAACCTAAAGTCACCAGCTGCATTAGCCTCTAACAAGAGAGTCAGCCTGTCCTTTGAAGCTTTGAATCCAGGCACTGACTTCTTTCTACTATCAGAGTCCTAGCTGGCATCTTCTTCCGATGGAAGGCTATTTCATCTACATTGAAAATCTCTTGTTTAGTGTAACCTACCTTCATCAATGATTTTAGCTAGATCTTCTGGATAATTAGGTGCGGCTTCTACATCATCACTTGCTGCTTCATCTTGCACTTCTATGTTCTGGAGATGGCTTCTTTCTTTAACTCTCATGAACCAACCTCTGCTAGCTTCAAACTTTCTTCTGTAGCTTCTTCACCTTTCTCATAGAATTGAATAGAGTTAGGATCCTACTCTAGATTTTAGCTTAAGGGAATGTTGTGGCAGGTTTGATCTTTTGCCCAGATCCCTAAAACTTTCTCCTTATCAGCAACAAGGATGTTTCACCTTCTTAGCATTCGTGCATTCACTGGAGTAGTGCTTTTCATTTCTTTCAAGAACTTTTCCTTTGCATTCACAACTTGGCTGTTTGGCATGAGAAGCCTAGCTTTTGGCCTATCTTGACTTTTGACATGCCTTCTTACTAAGCTTGATCATTTCTAGCTTTTGATTGAAAATGAGAGACATGAGACTCTTCCCTTCACTTGAATACTTAGAGGCCATTGTAGGGTTATTAATTTGCCTAAGTTCAAAATTTTTGTGTCTTAGGCAATAGGGAGCCCTGAGAATTGGAAAAGAGACAGGGAAACATCTGGTGGTGGAGCAGTCAGAATACACATGGCATTATCTATTAAGTTCTCTCTCTTATATGGATGTGATTTGTGGTGCCCCAAAACTATTACAATAGTAACATCAAAGATCAACTGATGATAGATCACCATAACAGATATAATATATAATGAAAAATCTTGAAATAGTGTGAGATTTTCTGAAATGTGACACAAAGACATGAAGTGAACACATGCTATTGGGAAAATGGCACTGATAAACTTGCTCAAAGTGGGGTTGCCAGAAACATTCAATATGTAAAAAATGCAATATCTGCTAAACTCAATAAAATGAAATATGCCTGTACAAGAATTCATTTTTATAAGAATATAAAACAAACCAGTTCTAATGTTCATTGATATAGATCTAAAAAGGTATATTCACATAAGTGGTATTTAACACAGCAGTAGAAATTAAAAAACGTTCAGTTATACATGGAAAAAACTTCATCTGCATCATGGATGAATCTTAGCAACAATGAATGCTAAGTGGAAAAAGCAGAAAGCCATATATTGCTTATGCTATACACATAATAACCCAATATTCATAACAGTGCTCACCTTCATTAATTAGGAAGAGCAGTGCTATAAGGAAAGAGTATAGAGGTATGTGTAAGTTATTGGAAATGTTCTTCTCCTGGAATGGGCAATTGGTACATTGGTGTATATTATATTATACATAACATAATCAAACCAACTGGTAATAGACTGGAAGAAAATACTTCCAACATGTCTAACAAATGGTAAATATCCACATTATAATAAGGAAATGCATGAAAGTTTCATGTTTTAAATATCCATGAATATTGTTATCAGAGGCTGTGTTTTAATACTTTTTATACATTGTCTATTACATTTACACATTTCTGATGTCACTTTGATGAAACTCTTTTTAAGTGATGTAAATTTAAATGCCAGTATCACAGGTAATATGTAGAGTTTATAAGAGAATATTAAACGACAACTCAATAGAAAAGAGGGGCAGGGCTTTAAGATGCTGTTTACAGAAGAAATCACACCTCTCCAGGAAACCTACAAAAATATGCTCAACCCACTAGTAAACAGGGAAGTGTGATTTTACAAAAAATAACAAGAAGTTGTTTTTCACTCATTATTGAAGAAATGTCATAAAGTTGTTTATATGTAGTGTTTGGGGATTGAAAGGAAATGGACCCTTACATATTCTACAGCGGGAGTGACTCAGAGGGACGTGATGATGGAGTAGAACATTTTCCTCTAGAGTAGCCTTCGAAAGCACATGCACATGTTTACATAAATACACCCAAATAATGTTAACTACATACTTTTTTTTCTAATAGTGAAACATCAGAAATAATTTAAGGTCCATGAAAATAAGTCATTTATTTTAACTTGTATAATAGTACATGCATTTATTATAAATCATGATGCAGCACTTAAAAATCATGATCTGACAGGATGCAACACATAACTATGTTATGTGCTGATACGGAAAGATCTCTTAGATATATTTTAAGTAAAAAAGCACACAAGTTAATGAACAGTTTGTATAGCACAATCTTACGTGTGTTAAAAATGTGTGCTATAAAGATTTACATATACCCACTCATATTTACAAATATACAGAAAAATTACTTGGATGGTTGCATATTATATTATTACCAGTGGTTATCTCTGATGTAAGGGAAGGGAAGAGGCACATTCCAAAGTTTCTGTCCTGTTTCAGTTCTTTTATTGAAATAAAAATAGGCATGTATGACTGTATAGCTGGCTGCATTACGTGCTTGTGTGACTTTTCCCAAGGTAGGTTGCGTTAATAAGCACGCTGCATGCAGTATCAGCAGAAGCAGTGGGTATTTATGACAGCTGACCCAGCAATTAGGCTTGAATGTCCCTGGGTGGAAAACACTGTCAACTAGGTCAAAATACAAGGTGAAGCCTGACTCCTATTTGCAGACTCTAAGTCAAAAGAAAAGACGGAAACTGTTGCCTAGAACCCCAGTTACAGCCTGAGCAACTTCTCCCAGTAATGGATAAAGCAAAAAATTGCTAAAGACATGTTTACTGATGCCATAGGAACATTTGTATGGTTATTCAAAGGATAATTTTTGAGTGACACACTTATTAAATGAAATAATGTAGTATGGTTCATTCTGGATTATGTAAACTGCAGATCATATCCGGGAGAATATCTTAATGAAATTTATTTTAATGTATTTACTTTTTTTAATTTTACAGTTTATAAAATAAAAATTAAAATATGTATTGTAGAATCTAAAACATATAATTACAAAATATTTTTAAATTATAGACTCTGGACTATATAAAATATGCTTAAATGATCTATAAAATATAATTGAGATATTTTACAGTTTTCATAAAATAAAAATGTATTTTATTTGATGAAACGCTAAGGGGACAAACTGAAAATGTTTTCATTTTAAAATATTAATCATGTGCCATAACATGCTTATTTTTCAGGTTAAACTTTTTCCGAGATGTTCCTGACTTCAGAGTGTTAGCTTGTGGTGGAGATGGAACTGTGGGCTGGATTTTGGATTGCATAGGTAATGCAAACACATGTTTAATGTGGCTGGGGTGAGAGTGATTACATTAAATTATGTTTTATTTAGCCTCTCTATCTATATATTTATTGCTAGCATCAATATCTTTAGAAGCAGCAATGTAGTTGGACATCTGGCAGGTGCATACTATTTACTGGTTTTATTTATCCTTCCAGAGTTCAAAATTTTAATAGACATAATAGTTTAAAAGTATCTAGAAATTCTGTTTAATCCATTTCTCATAGTATTTACTAAATCTTCAGAGTCGTCTTCAAATCAGGCTCTAGGATGTCTGGCGTTTGCCCCAGGCAGGGAGCCAAGGGGGTCTTAGCATTTGTGATAAAATCTGTGCCAAATAGATGTGTTTACTTTATTTAAACATGCAGTCTCAAAACTTTACCCTCTGTGTTCATTCATGTCCTTTTATCAATCAGCACCATCATCATTGCTAATTTTTATTTATTGTATTCTATTTGATAATCTTGTGCTTTTTGCCTAAGTTATCGTGTTTATTCCTCGCAACTCTGTGAAATAATCTGTTAATAATCCAAGTTCAAAGATAGGGAAAGTAAGGCTTGGAGATGGTAAATAACTAGAACAAAGTCTTCTTACTGTGAAGTGACAGAGCTTGGATTAGAACCCACACTTTAATTTTATTCTATATTGCCTCGCTAGTTAAATTTAAAGAGCTTGATTTTTATAAGCAAACAAAACAGATACATGATTGAGGATAAAAGATAAGTACGCAGCATGAGAAAAACTCGATAAATTGATAAAAACTTCTGATTACTGGTTAGAAAAACAGATCATGAATTGGCCTTTATGAGGAGATAAATCCCAAACAAGTATTTACTTTTTTAGGCCTCCATATCATTTACTGTATTGACCTATTTTTTTTTTTTTTTTGAGACAGAGTCTCGCTTTGTTGCCCTGGCTAGAGTGAGTGCCGTGGCGTCACCCTAGCTCACAGCAACCTCAAACTCCTGAGCTCAAGCAATCCTTCTTCCTCAGCCTCCGGAGTAGCTGGGACTACAGGCATGCGCCACCATGCCCGGCTAATTTTTTTCTATATATATGTATTTTTAGTTGTCCAGATCATTTCTTTCTATTTTTTGGTAGAGACGGGGTCTCACTCTTGGTCAGGCTGGTCTCGAACTCCTGACCTTGAGTGATCCACCCACCTTGGCCTCCCAGAGTGCTAGGATTACAGGCGTGAGCCACCGCGTCCGGCCAGACCTATTTTTTTGTTAAAAACAGTCCCTTTCACAAAAGGAATTGATTCAAAATAAGTTTTGCTCTTTCTATATACATTGAAACGAACCTCTGTTTATTTAATTCAGATGAGAATATTCTACATTGTCATACACTGAAAAATATTTAAATTAAAAATGAATATATGTTGTCAGCCACACTTTTGAAAAGCATCTAACAAGTTTAATCTACTAATATTTAATAAAAAAGAAATAGTGAATATTCTGATCTTGGCCTTCCAATAAAAGATGTAAACAGTATTTATATGCTCTATCTAAGAAGAAAACCAGAATCCAAGAATTGCAGAAGTCAATGACTTAGTAGAAAAATGTCTGAGGACTTTAGAGCAAAAATAGTAGGAATTTTTAGATTATTTTGCTTTTAAAATTTAAATGTTGGCTATTTAATTGTGCATATCACTAAATTATCTAGCCCCTTAAACCTTACACACATACACACCCTAACTTTGAGTGGCCGAGAAGGGAGAAAAAAAAATTCAAGAAAAGAAGTGATATACGTTTGCGAGATTAATTCAAGGCATATGATGTTTCAAACAAAAGCATATGGAATGTCAGCAGCAGAGATCTTTACTGCTCTGAACCCAAAGCACTATGTGTTGTAAAGATTAATCTCATAGAAAACCTGCTGATCTCGATGTAATCCAGCTGTTAACGTTGCCTCCCGTTTGCTCTGACACAAAGCAGCACCATGGGTGGGAACAATTCAAGGACATTGTTAGCAATTTATTCACTTTTAGGTTCAATTGTTTTCAAATATTTTATTCCTTCAAGTAAAATATACCTAGAGTTGATGTTGCAAAAGGACTTTATATAGGAAGCTACCCATCCACCCTACTCTCATGTCTGTAAATGTGTTCCTATGCTGCGTGTACCTACATCCCTGAGGATTGTAATGGAGATAACTAAAACATACCACCATCTTTATCTGAGTTAATGTATTTAGAAAGCTTTCCTCTTAGATCAGTTTTGAAAATCCCTGTCACTTTGTGAATAATATAGTATTTGTATTTTATCAATTGCTACAAATTAACCATAATTCATAATTGTATATACAATAAATTTTGTTCTGTTTATAAGTACCTAGTAGAATTCCTTCATTTAATGTCAGGATGTCTTTTTATGTAATGTTGTTTTATCTGAGTTCAAAATTTTATGTTATTTTAATTTTTTGATTCTGCAGAAAAGGCCAATGTAGTCAAGCATCCTCCAGTCGCAATTCTGCCTCTTGGGACCGGCAATGATCTAGCAAGATGCCTGCGATGGGGAGGAGGTAAAACAGCTGCAACAGCGAAAGCAGAAATACAGTACACAACACCCCTCCCCAAAGCACAGCCCTGTATTTCTCTACTGGGTGACAACTACTGTATGATTTTAGCAAACATAGTTGATATCAGATATATATAATTTTGAACTATAGTCAAATAGTGGACAAAGGGATTATGGTGTTGGGCTTTAATCTGATACTAATTATAGTTTTGAACTTGGGAAAGACAAGTTTCCAACCCTCTCTGGTTTTTGGTTTTCTTGCTTAGAAAATGAGGTAAACATAGATGAACTCTAATGTTCAGATTTTTAATTTATGGCTGTGTGGTAAAATCACAAACAGAAAAAAAGTAAAATACTTAATTTTTGAGACCCACTCCATGCTAGCCAGTGTGTTTTGCACTTACCATTCAGAAGTGAGAATAGAAAAACAAAAGGACCTTAAATTCTAGCAGTACATAAAGCCATATGCAAACTGTGAGACTCTCTACTAACAAGTAAACAAACAGATGACCAGTTTAAGGAAAAGCCTCACTGAGGACATGACATAGCGAGAAACCTAATGGCTGGATAATGACACAGCCATATGAAACTGGTGGTGAACTTCATAGGCAGAGCCAGAGGGAACATAGAGTTCAAAGGCCCAGAGGTGGCAAGATGGTTGACATAAGCAAGAAACTGAAAACGGAATAATGTAGATGGACCAGGGCAAGTAAAGAGAGAATATTTCAAGATGAGTTCTTAAAATATTTTAAAGAGTCACTAATAGGCTATAATAGGCTATACTTATCTGAAGGTCAGTGAACACCACAAATTTTGGTAAAGAAGCACACATTGAATGCTAAATATTTTTAGCATCTAAACTCACTTAGAGAAGTTTGAAAAGTGTCCACTTAGTGTGAATCAGAGCCCTTGGGGAGCTTGTTAAAAGTATAGTGGCCTGACCCCACCCAAAATATGCCGAATGGAAATCTCTGGGGGTTGTACCTGAGCAGATGGTTTTCTTTTTAAACAAACTCCCTAAATATCTTTGATTTGCAACAAAGTTGGAGAACAATTCCATAAATATCTGGCCAACTAGCTCTAGGCTGTGTACATGTTGGACTAACAGCATTGGAGACTAAGTTAAAGACTTAGTTTATAATCTATTCGGGATGATCATTAAGAATATCCTTTAATAAGAGCACTTTTGTAGATTGAGCTAAAGATATAACCATTGCTTGTAAGATGCTTATATTTGCCAGTGTTCATACATGTACCTTGATTAGAAAGAAGAAAAATATATATATATGCCTTCTTGCTATACTCTTCTGGAATATATATTTTATATGTGAAAATGAATAATTACATTTTTTGCTTCTAAATTAGCAAATGGCTAACATCTCAAATTTGATCAAGAACTCTATTTTTGGCATATGCTAATGATTCTTGCAAAACCACATAAAAGATACTGTCCATGGACAAAGACAAGGACTCTAGCATAGATACAGTATTAATTAGTGATGAATTCTCTGCGAGTACCAGTATGTGCTGGCATTGTTCTTGGTGCTAGATAGAGAGTAAGGAAATAAATCTATACCTCCCGCCCCTTTTGAGATAAAATTTTATTTAGTAAATAGACAATAAATCATCAAACAGTACAATATATAATTATAAAATGAGATAGGGAATACAGAAAAATGAATACTAGAGAAGAACTATTTAGCTATATGGTCAAGAAGGCCTCTCTGGGAAGGTAACATGTAAGCTGGACCTAAAATATGAGAAGCAGGGAGAATGGCATCCTGTGTCGCAAGGACTGAAGGAAGGCAGGCTGGTGAGATTGCCAAAGCAGCAGTGGAGTGACAGGCAGTTAGAGATGGTGAGTTCCGTGAGTCTGAAAAGATAATCAGGAGCCAGATAATGCAGGGACTTGTTTATCATGGTAAGAATTTTATTTGATTGATTTTGAAGTGTAAAGTGAAGGTTTGAAAGAGTTTCAGAAGCAGAGTGACCCAATGACATATTTTCAAAAATAGATTAATTGAGGAAGGAAAATAAACTGGCCAGAAAATGTGAAAACATGGAGAGCTATAGTTTTCCAAATGAGAACATCTATTATATAAAAGAAGAAAAAAAGAAAAAAGAAAAAAAGAGAACATCTATTATAGTTGGCCTAGTTAGACAATAAAATGACTGGATGGAGGTTTTAGTGATGCAAATGAGGCAAGTAGACACACGGGAGACACATTTTTGGGCTTAGGTTTATCAAACTTGCGAGTGGATTGGATATGAGATTTGGGGAAAGCAAGATATCAAGGTGCCCCAAGTTGAGCAATTAGGGAAATGGAGAAGCCATTTGTTCGAGCTTATTAATAGAGGAACATACTTTAGATTAGGATTATTTCTTGCAAGGTGTGTCACTTTGAGTAAGTGGCTTAAGAACTGTACTGTTTAGATTCTTTATCAGAATTTGAAGAGAGTAATGATGCCTACCTTGTAGGTTCTTGTGGCAAACTATTAAATTGCTTTGTACAGTGTTTGTGCTGAGTATTTATGTAGTCATAATAGTTAATACTATGTGTAATATTTGTAAAAGAAAGTACTTTATTCCACCAATAATCACTTGGTTCACTTAGGGCAGGAAAATATATTGACTTGAAGCCTCTTTTTTTTGCAAGAATATATTTCCGTATTTCCGCACTATAAGAACGTAGGAAGTCCTAGGGCATTTGAAACATGCTTAATTAGCATTCTGCTTACAATTTTCTGGCAATAATTAGTCTCTCTAACAAAAATTTGAAGAATATTGCAAACGAAATTTTGTTTGGGTAGGGTAAGGAGGTAAGTGACAGACTTTTAAATGGAGCACACCCTTACACATACTTGTGGTTGCTTTTCTTCATGTGATTTTCATTTGTAAAAATTTCTGTGACTTTTTAAAGGAATTCAGTTATTATGATAATATATTATTTAAGAAAAATATTAATTAACTATAGTACAATGCACAAGTAAGATGTATCTAGCTATTTCCCTAGGACAATGGTTCTCAAACATGAGCAAGCATCGGAATCACCTGGATGGTTAAAATATAGACTGCCGAGCCCCAACCCACCTGGATTGGGGCCAAGGAATTTGCATTTCTCACAAACCACCAAGTGATACTGAGGCTTTTTGTCCAGGGACCACATTTGGGGAGGCAGTAACCAAGAATAACTTAGAACATATCAAATCCTGCATTTCCTTATACACCGTTTCCTCAGAGGCCATGACACAGCACACCAAAACTGCTAAGAAGAATGGCATTGTCACACAACCTAAGACAGATGCAGGCCTGCGAAATCCAGTCCAAGTAACCTCTCAGAGAGCAAAATCTCTGGACATATTTAGAGCACTAAACTCTCCTGGAACTGATCTAAAAGATGCAACCAATCCAGACCCAGGGAGCTGGACCTCAGCCCCATATTAACCTCCCCACCTCCCAGTGAGGCTAATCCAGAGGCAATGGCTCTAGAGTTGGACACAGACCTATTTTTAACATCTTGAAACCAATCTCAGACCAGACTGTCATTTATGATGTCTCATTTAACATCTGAAGTTCATCAAACCACACCTAACC